TACCCAAAAGCCAGTAAGACCGTCCTGATTGTGAAGAATAGCGAGGACCTAGATCTTGCGCAGAAAGTATTCTCAGGCACTGGTATTAAAATTGAGTCTGAAGGAGAACGCCATTTGGGTGCAGCAATTGGCAGCGAAGCTTTTAAGAACAAATATGTCTCAGATAAAGTCCATAAATGGTGTCAGGACATCAAGCTGTTGTCATCAATTGCTGTTGAGGAGCCCCAAGCTGCTTTGACTGCATATACTAAGGGAATTTGTCACCGGTGGACGTTCATTCAGAGGACCATCCCGGGTATAAGTCACTTGTTTCAACCATTGGAGGATTGCATCAGAACAGATTTTATTCCAGCAATCTTGGGTAAGAACGTGTCAGACTTGGACCGCTCCATATTTGCATTGCCAGTCAGACATGGTGGCCTAGGTATCTCCAACCCAGTTGAAAACTGCAATAGAGAATTCACAGCCTCAGTCACCATCACAAAAGACCTCACAGACCTGATTATCAACCAGCAAAACACCCTTGAACATTACAACATGTCAATTCAAAATGACACTATAAAAAGTCTCAAGGCAATCAAGGAGAAACACTTATTTACGGTTAGCAAATCAATAGAGGACAGTGTAAGAGATCCCAACCTAAAGAGATCTCTCCAGTTCATCAAAGAGAAAGGTTCAGGATGTTGGCTTACTGCACTTCCATTGAAGAGATTTGGCTACTCCCTGAACAAGATTGAGTTCCGTGATGCTCTGTACTTGCGTTATGGTTGGGAGATCCCAAACACCCCATTTCACTGTGCTTGTGGAGAGAGAAATAATGTGAATCACACACTTATATGCAAGAAAGGTGGCTATGTTTCTATGAGACACAACAACATCCGTGATCTAAATGCAGAGCTGCAGCGTGAAGTATGCAGAGATGTAGTGACTGAGCCAGCATTGATACCCCTTGATAATGAAGAAATTGTTGGTACCAATGCTGATAGAGCTGCACCTGATGTATCCTCACGAGGTCTCTGGAGCACATTTGAACGAACATTCTTTGATGTCTGTGTTACCCACCCCAACTCACCCACATATGACAAAAAAGATATGGAACAGATCTATAAAGCTCATGAAATGAGGAAGATGAAAAAGTACAACAACAGAATCATCCAGGTGGAAAAAGGCACCTTTACCCCACTTATATACTCAACAAATGGCGGATGGGGTCCACAAGCCACAAGATACCACAAGAGACTCGCTGAAAAACTATCCCAGAAGAGAGGAGAAGACTATGCGGCTATTATGTGTTACATGCGCACCAGGATTAGATTCTCAATCCTCAGGAGCACCCTGATAGCGGTCAGGGGTGAGAGAGGGAGACGGCAATCGTATACATTGCCAGTCAGTGTAACTTCGTTTAACTTGATACCTGCCACCATGGACTATGAATGTTTCTAGACACTATCCTTTTGATATTGAGATATTGGTATCTCAGATCATGTGTACATCGTTCCTTTTTTTATGACACAGTAATTTATTGACACTCACAGCTATAATTTTAATCATTGAATCAGTATTTTTATCTATTAACTTATTACACATTTGTGCTCTGCTTTAGCATCACTTGGCTATTTTTTAAAAAATTGTTTGTTCGGGCCATGACCTTATAGTCAGCCAATTGGCCATTGCTATATTATGTGTATATTGTTTGAATATTCTTTTCTCAATTCATTTACAGATCACAGCATTATGTCTAGCATTCAGAGAAGTGTGCTAATGATATCCATGGTTCAACTTGCCTGTTGTAACTTCTTGGATATAGAATACGATAAAGACCCGAATCGCAATGTCCGTTTCTCACTTTACAACAAGGATGTTTTCAATCACACATCAAAGCATGACCTAAGGAATATTTGTGAACACCTACAGTCCCAGAAGATGGAGATGATATCAACCTGGAAGGCACCTGTTTATGGATGGTTCTCAATAAAAGATATATATCATGAGTTTCTGGTTTATCAAACTAAAGGTCCTTCTGATGTAACATCTTATTGGTCGATTGGAAAAAATATGGAAGGATTTGATCTGCAACTTAGCTCAAGAATATCAGATGTTGTACAGTACGTCAATTACAAAACCCGAGCATTTTCTTGGAAACCTCAGATGATCAGAGAATTCAAGTTTTCTCATCCCACTGCTTCAGCTCGCTTGTTGCATTTTTTGTGATGGTGGACTGAGCCTTGATGCAAAACAGACTGCACTCTACAACCCGTTTTATCATAATTGTCAACATTATGCTGAGGATGTATTTAAGATGGTGACCTGTACTTGAATAGAATTTACTAAAATTTTAATATCGAAATCTGTTAATTTCTATAAATGCTAGTTTCTAACTTTTGTTTTAAGGAGTTAAAACGCTTAACATTATATATATAATGTGTAAAATATATATATAATGTGTGTCAAAGTTTCATATGTTGTTTTGTTTGGAATATTAATGACTAATATATTGACAGTAAGATTGGTTTTTCAGTTATGGTAATGCTGAAATCTTGTTTCACTATAATAATTATGTCTACTTCACAATTCAAAAATCTGTTAATAGCTTTGACTTTGATTTTTAAGGTGGGTTTTTATGCAATTTCCTTTATAAATTTAAAGATATATTAATCCCCACAGATATATGTCACATTAACTTATTACTATTTATGATTGATTTTGGACACGAAGGGAAACACACAAATTTGGCTTGGCAACTTCGTTTAATACATCGCTAGAGCCTACAAAAAAGAAATAAATTAGTCAGATAAAATCAATCATAATACTCAGTCAAAGAGATTCAAAAATTTATAAAAAGGTCATGATTAGAGCTTTAGAGAATATTATGAAAGTCGATCAGAAATTGGAATACGATAAAATTGTTTCACTGTCAGCGTGGTAGATAAAATTTTAAAGAAAAATGACGCAAAATTGGCACAAAATTGGTAAAATTAATAAATTACAGATATTGGTAAAAACCACAAAAAACTATCTCTTAATTTCCATCCTGTTTAAACCCCAAACATTAGTCCTAAACTTTGCACAAAATCTAGCCTCTTCCCTATCTAATAGGTAAGGTTTAGTCTTTTTCACAATCCCGAATTTGAAACAGTCAAAACTGAAAGTGTCCTTGTGTACATCGTAACAATGCATTGATAAGGCTGAGTGCTCGTAGAGGGCACGGTCGTCAATGTTGAACTTGTTCCGGTGCCCATTGAGCCTAATGTGGAATGGAGGCAACGTCTGCCTAAAGTAAGTGTCCTCAGATCCCTCAATAGCCCTACACTGCTGGCATTGTGCAACGTAAATAATGTGCTTATCTTTGCACGTGAGGGATTCGTCTAGATTAAGCTCCATGCCGTTGACCATGATCTTAGAGTCAAGATCGAACAATACCGGGCAAGTCTTGCATCCAGGGGCTGAGCACTTCTGTGATGTTTTTTGGGGACATTCAGCCTTATTTCCAAGTTGTCGATTCTTCACTACCCTGTTCCCGATTGAAGGATGTTTTCGTGTGGCAAATATTACTATTTATTAATTTATTGACATTGTCATTATTTTATTAAATAATATAATATAAAGTTTAGTATCTAAGTTTATAAGTTATATGTTACAGAGTTTGGTAGAAGTTTAGAGTTGTGTGAAATTTTATGCTATTCCTTTCTATTCTACCTCATCTTATAGAAATGCGTATATAAATTGTATATTTGTACACGTTTTATCCAGTTTCCATTTTCACAATTTATTTTTTTTGCTAACCATCTATTTACTGTATAAATCAAAAAATCAATAAAATTATGACTGCAAAAAGTAAAATAAAATGGCTTTAAATTGTTTCTTCTCAATCATTCTTTTAAACTGATAAACTGCAAGATATATATTGGAGATAATATACTGGACTTTTTTTCACCATTTCTTAATTGTTGTTTCAGTATGAATGTACTGTCATCATCAGTCAGCCAGTTGTTCAAGATAACATCACGAGTTTGTCAAGGTTCAATATCATCTCAAATTGGAGTAGCATGTATACACACTTCAAGTGTGTTGGAAGGATGGAACCGAGGAGAAGGAAGGACCAGATGGAAGTTTCAGCCAACAACTCTACGTCGTAGAAAGCTTGACCGTGGTCGTACTTACTGGACCAAGACTGATTTTGGTAAACGTTTGAAACGAGAAATGAAGGACAGGAATCTTATGTTATCAGATCCATGGGTACAAAACCAATTGAACTTAAAGTATTTTGATCATAAACCTAAATGGAAAAGAATATGAATCTTTCGTTGGCTTGTTGATTCAAAGTTTCAAATTGTGTTTACATCATTTTAAAATATGTGGTCTAGACATAATGATGCAGTGTAACTCACGTCACTAGTTGGTTTTTAAAGAAGATTGGATGGGTGAACATTCTCTAATGTATTTTCTTATCTTGTAATATCAACAGTGAGAAATGTAATTTATTGCTAGTTTTAATTACTACAACAAAGTTTGAAAGTTTCCCCTATTATTCATTAACAGTTACTAATCACGTGACTTTCTTACTTTCATTTAATAGGCATTTAAAGTTTTACAAATGAATATCCTGATGGAAATTGTGATCAATTTGATATAAGCTTAAATCGATCACATCTGATATGCTGCCGTTTTCTGACAAATGTGCTTAAAGACCATTTTTGATATTCTGAATTCTTTAACCCAAATTTGGTTTTTGGGTCAAGAACTATCCCTGAAAACCATCAGAAGCCATTAAAACAAATGGCTGGCCTCCAAAACCCCCTTATGAAACCGCTTAAAATGCCAATATTTGTCATAAATGTGTCAAAGGTGCTTGAAAACCTCGGATTTTTGAGTGGTCTTTAAGCACTTTTGCCAGAAAACGGCAGTATCATACCTTTTATGAATGATGATTATTGACTAGTATAATTAGTATGATTAGTATGATTAGTATAATTAGTATGATTAATATGATTAATATGATTAGTATGATTATTACAAATCAAATAATTTAGCAGTACAGATTGATATGCTAAATGGATGATGAGGAAGATAACACAGTTACCGAGTTTGTAGCAACATCTACCGCGCAGCTATTTAATGTCTACACTGCAACTGACCATGCAGTGGATCCTGAGGGCAAAGTGCTGCTCCAATACATAAAATCAGTCCTGCTAGAAGCTCTCCACTCTGGTAAACCTCATGAAGCTCTGTCTCGCGAGATAGTGAGCACGTTGTCACGGCTCATCTGCGCAGGTAAGAATCCTGAAACAGAGCTGCCCCTTCTGAAGAAGGCACTTGGAGCTGGAGGTCCTTGTGGTAAGATACTCCAGTACAATGAGCCCACGTTTAGCTGTTTGGAGTGCGCGCTGGACCGCACCTGTGTCATGTGTATGGACTGTTATTACGCGAGTCCGCATCACACGGAGAAACACAACCTTCACGTCAACACTTCTCACGGTAGTGGAATGTGTGACTGTGGGGATGTAGAGGCTTGGAAATATGTGAGTTTAATTTTTGCCTTTTATTAACTTGAAAACTGCTTGAAGGTGGCTTTTTCGTCGAAACTACAATATGGAATGCACTGATATTAGAGTTGTAACGCATTTTAAATGTTGTTAATAATTATACAGAGGTTTAATAAAGGCACGTTACTGATCACAGATGATGTTACCATCGTTAGGTATTGTTGTGCTCATCAAAAGTACTTAATCTCTCATAAACAATGATTTATGATAGCTAACATGCTAATACCTGAACACAGGGTCACGCCTGCTCAGTACACGCTGGCAAAGGAGACGAGGAGGACGCTGCTGTGGAGATGAAGCTGCCTCCTAAAGTCAGGAACATTGCTACTATTGTCTTCAAGGTATGGTTATCTCTACTTTTAACACAACTATTTTATCTATTTCAATGTTCTGCAAACAACAGTTGTTTCGAGAGAATTATATGCAAACTCCACTCCTGACTAATTATAGATTTAAATTTCACAGTGGTTTAAATTACTAGAAATGTCATAACAATTAACATTATTCAACAGGAATTGTTAGAGCTGGCAATGAAAGCGTTCATTGAGAAGGGAGAGAGTTATGATGAACAGTTCGAGCTCCCCCTGGCAGTGTTACCAGCCTTTGGGGACTGTGTAGATGCCAGTGACAGGTGTGTTAATTCAATTTGGTTTGGACACATAGTAAGACAGCACAAATATAGGTGAATTCTTCGTATATTTACATCACTAGCCTATAAAAATAAAATTAGGTTAGACTAATGAAAGCAATTTAAAAGTTAACAACTTGAAAATTTAAAACAGATTTTAATCTGAAACTTTACTAAAGAGCTCAATGTGCTAGGTAGAATGGACAACAGAGCATAACAGATTATTCAGCGAGTAACTACAATCCTATTTAACCCAAAAATATTAGTTCTAAATTTTGAAATAAGAATGCTCTCTTCTCTATCAAGTGCTGTTGGTCGGACTTTTCTTACTACACCTAATTTAAAAACTCCCATAGTGAAATCAGATTTATGCGCTAGAAAACAATGCATGGAAAGTGCCGACTTCTCAAATGACAATTCATTATCAATTTTAAACTTGTTTCTGTGTCCATTCATTCTGATATGAAATGGAGAAACCGTTTGGCCGAAATAGGTATCGTCTTTTAGGCTCTGGGGAAGTTTATTACAAATTTGGCATTGGGCGACATAAATTATATTGCTGTCCTTACATGTCAACCGGAAATCCAGAGTTAAATCCAAACCATTGACAGTGATAACTTCGTTGGAGTTGAACAGTTGGGGACAGGTTGCACAGCCTCTCCCGCCACAGTTTTGGCTGACGGTGAAAGAATCCGTTTCGGAGCACGAACTGAGTTTTCTATTGCGCACTACTGTGTTGCCTATAGATGGCTGTTTACGTAGTGCAAACAATATCTGTACGTCTCCGCATAATTGTTTGATGTCCTCACTAGTAGAGTGTACCAACTTCCTAAGTTCAGTGACCTCTTTGAAAAATTTCACTGAAAAGACAACTTTGTCAGTGATTGGCTTCTTATCTTCCCTCTCATACAAATCGTGTTCTATTGATCTCAAGACTGCTTCAGGCTCTGTTTCCGTTAAGGTCCCCTCCTTGTGTCCACTTTTCATTAGGTCTTCTTTAAGTTCCTCCAGGTCCTCCACACATGTGTGATCCTGCGAATTTCGCTTGATCACTCGGATCATCTGTGAGAATACTACTGATTTAAAGACGTGGTTTGGGTGGAAACTATCAGTATTAAGGTAAAGCCTGGCATCAGTCTCTTTCTTAAATAGTCTGTAGTCGATGTTGTTGTTCTCCCCCAGGGAGAGTTCTACATCCAAGTAGTTAACTGATGGTGTGTTAATTATTATCTCATTATAGATTTTATAGAGTAATAATAGTTCGCTTTTTGTTGCTTAGTTAATACACTTCTAGTCGATCTTTAGCTTTCAATAATCTTATTTTTCAAAGAGATAATTCCTGATTCAAAATTTCGTATGTGGAAATCCGAATATCTTTCAATATCATTTATATTGCTTCTTTTCTGTAATTAGCGGCTTTTTACCGCGAAAGAAAATGACGCATTATGAGTTCAACAGAAATGTAATCTCAATTAATTTAAGCAACAGTTGAAGAACTGGATTCGCACGAGCGTAATTGTTTTATCACGAATTTCAAGTCACGAGGTGCAGGTTGATTGTGCCACACTACGTGTATTATTATGTATTTAAGCCCATTTATCGGTTTCCTGATGGAATCCTCTAAACTGGCACAGACTCAATATGGAGTTATATAAATTACAATGACTAAAAGATAATTTCCTCTCCAGATACGTAACAGTGATCTATAACGACGAAGTTCACAATTTTGACGAGGTTATCGCACAGTTCAAGCAGCTGCTGAAGAGTTCACACAGCGAAGCCTCTGCCTACGCCACGTCTATCGACAGAGAAGGAAGGATGCTGATACGGACTGCGGGCAAGGAGGAATGTCAGGAACTTACCAGACAGTTCCTCAGTTACAAACCTGGAGAACATTCCAGAATCAGATTCAACAAGGAACCTTTAGTCGTGAGTAGATAACAGCATGAGCATAGTCCCTACTTTTGCGTCGCATCAGGTGTTTTCCCATAGCATGGTGTTAAAACCATCAGAGTATAAAATTTCCTTTCCCTTAGCCAAAAACGAATATGCTTTTGATTTGTTTGGAGAGGCGAATCATACACAGTTTAGGCTCTTGAAATCTTCGAATTAAAAAAAACGAATATGCATTGTGCAAAAATATGAAATAAAGGATGTAGTTTTGATAATGTCTGAGGCGTATATCATCTGACAGCATAATGATGGTATGAGGGTAATATTTCAAATTTATAGTACCATATTCAGTATAACAGTACTTTAAGTGATATTCAGTATAACCATTTAAATGTTTCAGACGAAATCAATGCCGGAGTTTGTGTTCGTTCTCCAGAATATCATGGTGGACGTTGTGGACTGGTTGTCAGATCTAGCTCGATTAAATGCAGCTTTCAAACGGATCGCTTGTAACGTAAGCAGCATCTCTTTTCTGGAACATTCTGTGCTGTGTCACACGAAGTATTGAACCACATTAAACAATCTTCATGTTTCGCCTCTATAATTTACCTTATATGGACTACCATTTCATTTATTGTCAGCATTTTGCTCCCCAAAGTTCTTGACAGTTGATTAGAATGATCCTGATCTTTAGTTATTTGACAAGCTCCTCTCACTTCTCAGAACTACCCAGTCACCCAGTGATCAATAACTCAATTTATCAACCTCCCACTTGAATTAATCGCCCACAAATGACAGGTGAGTTTCAAAGAAGAAGACAACTCGGAGTGTTTTATTGAGCGGGTAATGTTACACGAACCTTACTTCTGGAAGAAAGTAAAGTGCGCCTGGCATAACCTCTTCATGTCAGCTTACTTCGGGGATTCTCTCTACAAGAAGGATATTGGTGTGCTCTTCATTAAGAATTACAGCGCGGTCTTTAGGTGGGTTTAGTTTTAGCACTTGTAGTAAACCTGTTCAATAACAATGTTGTTAAATCTTAATTTGTATGATGTATTTCCGTAATTAGCTTCTGAAATTATCATTGAAATTTTAAACTGAAATTGTTCAATATGACAGCAGTAATCGGTTTCTAATTAAGAGATAGTTCTGGACAATATATACAATATATAGTATTGTACTAGATAACTGCTTATCACGTGACATGACCGTTCCCCCTGACCAGGTCGTTTCTGGAGGATGATAAGGTCAGAGAGTTCCCCTACTGTATAATATCGCTCACAGTCCAGCTCTTCACTGTGCCCTCCATCTCCAATATCCTCATGACAGAGTACTCCGCACTGGAAATCATCTTCAGGCAGTTCGTGGACTTCTACAGCAAGTTTGTTAAGCAGGAGTCTGGCATCTCCAAGTTCCAGAACCTTCAGTCCAACTCTACAATCTCTAAACGGCGCACACGGATAAACCACGTGCTACTCGACGCTAAGTACATTCTTACAAACATTCCTGATGAGATTCCATCCTCGACGGAGGACGCGTTTCTGGCGTTCTTGCAGCTGTTCGTGAACTTCATTTCGTATATGCAGGAAATGAACCCTCACATTAGAGAAAGTGGTAACCACATTCTCCGAGAGAAGGAGTGGGACCAGTACTTCATCCTCGAGATATCTGAGATAAGGCAGATAATGTCGTATGTAGCACGGTGGTGCACGGCCACCCCACGTCTCTTTGTTAAGTCTCTGGAAATCTTGATTAAAGCGCAGCTGGATAACAGTGAGAAGTTTGAGTTATGTGACCCAACAGCTGTGACCTCTACAGTTTCCTTGGCATCCCTCGTTCGCTCCCTGGGTGGTGGTCCACTTACTGCGCAGTGGGAGCAGCAGCACCGCCAACTAGGTGATCAGCCTCTCTTTGCGCGCAAAATGTGCTACGTTCAGCACGACATGTTCAAAGATCCCGTCTCATTCCACATCCCGGTGACCAGGTTGTTCTCCATAGTGTTCTCTCACTTCCCCAAGTTTGACCTGCCACTAGAACTGCTTCTGAAGACCTTCACTCCAGAGGAACTGTTGGACCTACCTCTCCGGTCCATCCTCCTTAGTCAGCAGATTGAGGCGAGCATGTGGAAGAGAAATGGAACAACAATGGAGAACCAGAGTATGTGTTACAGAGATCACTACAAGTCTATAATGTGGGACAAGGATTTACTGGCGGTCCAGCTACTCCTCACACTCTGTCACCCAGAGGATGCAATACTGAAGATCGTTCAAAAATACAAGATTGAGCCGTATCTGGTGCTTCTCAGCTCCGAGACTAGCTATGATCCTCTTCTCAGAATGGCTGAGGCTTTCTCTTCTCTTCTTCTCTACGTTATTTGTGAGAGGTTTAGGCTGAACATTAGTGAGGCGAAGGAGTGTGATATTATTCGTAAAGATGCTGTTCACATCCTGGCCATTAGTAACGTCCCCCGAAGTAAGATAATTAAAACTCTGGAGGCTAACTTTGACCATTTTGAGGAAGACATTACAAAGACTGACGAGATTGATGAGATACTTGATATAATAGCGGAGAAGATCCCGGTGAAGGATGGAGTGAAGACAATGCTGAAACTGAAGCCAGAGTACTACAACGAGTTTACTCCCTTCTACTACCACTACTCTCATGGACAAAGACAGAGTGCTGAGAACACCTACTATCAGAGACAAGCTAACAACACTGAAGGGTTCAAACCTCCGCCTCTTCCTGGCTTCACTAAACTAACAAGGCAACTGAGACATTACCTTACATGTCCCATCATACAGCGCTTTATCTACGTGGTGCTCAAGAGATTCAACAGTGACACCTCCGCGCTCGTCTCAGACCTGCTCCTTCATCAAATTCTCTACTTGACCATGTTCGGAGTGTTGGACGAACTGAACACCCCTGATAATCCTCTCCCGGTAAAGTTCTCTCACTGTCTAACAAGACCTGACAACCCAGCGTACCTGATCCAGGAAGAGGGAGAGTGTTCTATTGTATCCCTCCTTAAAAACCTCCTTTCTGTGGACGTGAAGAGTGTTAACGAGATAAAGCCTCTTATCCGCTGGATCTTGAAGACGTGTGATATTCTGACTGACACAGCCAGCACGCCCGAGGGAACAGAAAGTGAGACGATTGTGGAATCATCCCCTAAATCAGGAGCAGATTCCCACAAGGAGATGATGAAGAAAAGACGCGAGCATCTGATGAAGAACTTTAAAACACAGCAAGCCAAGTTCATGGTAGAGAACCAGGAAGCGTTTAATAACATTGCTGAGGATGAGAACAAAACGGAAGAGGAACTGATGGAGACAGGAGAGGAAACAGAGCACTTCGTGTGTGGTCCAAACAAGGGTCCAATACCACGACCAGAGAGCAATATCCTGACCTGTATCCTGTGTAAGGACAGTGAGAAGGTTAACACTGGTTACAGTACTATGATGTACGGGTGTTTGATTGAGAAGAGTGTGGTGCTGAAGACGGATAAAGATAACGAGATATCAGATGATTACAGGATGAGTTATCTAGTAGGAGGAGAGAACCTGCATATCCAGTCATGTGGTCACCCAATGCATCTCAAGTGTCTGCAGTCCATCATGAAGCTGTCTCCTGCTCTCCAACACCTCCTTACTATGACCGGAGCTGATAGGAACCGCTACTCCTTCTTCCTCCCCAAGGGAGAGTTCTCCTGTCCTTACTGTAAGATGGCAGCTAACTGTGCTCTGCCAGTTGTGGGTTATGAACCACGTGACGTTCAAGATATCTCCACTGAGGACTTCCTTAAAGATGTGATCTACAGTTTGGAAGCTAACAATGATATAGAACTGATGGAGCTGGAGTTCTCTGAGTCCCCTGCCACAAGGAGCCCTACAATGCCAACTATAGTTGGTTTAGATCACTTGGCTGATGCACAAAACTTCATGGAAATTCTCAGAGATTCGATGCTCCATGACAGAATCAACCGAATGAGCGAAGAGCTGCCAGCAGCTGAATCTCCTGGTCCTGACCAAGTGGACCCTGGTACTAAGTTTAAGGAGGACATGAGACGGTTTTACCGGAGAGCAAAGAATATCCTGGACCAAGACGCTATTGGAGCTAGGTGCTATGCACCCTTCACTTTGAAGATGATATCCTACACTTTCTCCATGTTGGAGCGGATACTGAGGGAGAAGCCCCTGTTAGCCGGGCTGGCCGAGTACCAAGAGGGATTCTTCGAGTCTTTCCTCCATTCTCTTCACAAGAGCATGACGCTCAATGACCACCTCTACAACCAGGAACTCACTCGGGAATTGCTCTACGTTTTCTCCGCTCAGGTCTCAGATAGTGTAGATTTACCCAGTATCCTCAACACTGATATCTTCACTGTGTTCGTCGCTGCGAGGTTCGTTATCTTCAACGAAAGTAAGAGTTACGACAGTGCAATGGTTGAGTTGTGTGTCATTGCAAAGATCATCAAGATCCTACTGTCAGTGTCCCCGGACGATCTTGTTGGAGCTGACACTGGTGCTGATGACAGTGATGCTATTCAGCTAGCTACTTTGTGGGGCTATGTTAGGAAAATGTGCGGGCTCAGTTCCACTGATGATCCCTTTAAGTGCCCAACTTATCTGGTGTCTAAAGTACAGCTCAATCTACTTCCTCTCCTCAGAAAGTTGGCGCTCTTCCTCAGATACGCCACTTCCATTACAGGCTGTGCTGCAATGAAGGAGATACAGAGCCCACAGGGAGAGTTTAATCTGCTTATGCGTTATCTCAACATCTCGTCTCTCACCAACCTTCTTACTATCGATCCAGGCTACAAGCTGGATCTCATCCAAAAGTGGTGCCGGTCTTTGAACAGGGACAAGTTTATGGCAACTGTAGAGGTGAATAAAACGAAAAGGGAAGCAAAACTGATCGATTTACCTACAAATTTCGTCGATTTATTGGTGAAGGCATCCAAATACACCTGCCCTAAGATCAAGTTTGGTAAAATCCAGACGACGGCAGTTTGTCTAATTTGCGGGGATTTGGTCTGCTTCCAGAGCTATTGTTGTCAGGAATCTATAGGCGACAGTAACTTCGGACCGTGCAACATGCATGCTCACCGTTGCAGCGGAGATTTGGGAGTTTTCCTGACCCTGGAAAAATGTCAGGTTCTCTTTCTCCCCCTCAGGACTCAGGGTATTTTCATTAACGGACCTTATGTTGACAAATACGGAGAAGGATATAAATACACTAAGAATAAGGCACTGACTTTGTCCCCTCAAATCTACCGTAAGATAGAAATGATGTGGATCAGGCATGAGATTAGACCAATGGTAGCACGGAATAGCGAGGGGTTGGGTTTCTCCAGAATTGAACAGATCGGCCTTATGTACTGAAACTTTCGTTTTTGGGATGTATATTTTGTGATACAACTTCTCGTGATGCATTCAACTTATAGTTTTAATCACTTTAACTTAATTGTGTATATTGATTGTTTGGTTTTGCATTTCCATTCATCTTACGCGTTTATTTATAATCCTATTTATAGTATCTGAGTTACTTAATTCAAGATAATGAGTTCAACGTGATTTATCATGTTTTGTTGACAAGGGCTATGATAATTTGAAGATGCACTTGATAACTATATGGAATGCTGTTAAAATGTAGTAAAGTTAGGTCTCACGATTTCATATCTGTGCATAACGTTAACAGGTTAGTGAAGGTCGCGATAACATCAGGTCATAAGTTATACGTAGGTCTACTTCTTATTTGGCTGGCACGCGCGAGCAGAATTGTAGTATCACGACTACTTTGCGCGCACGAGCGATCTTTGTGAGTGAAACTAGCTAGACTGTAACGTACGTACGTACTAGATCAGACTGGATTTTATCTCCCAATAGTAATTCCTAATATGGGTATTTTTAAGCCAAAAAACAGACAGGTGCAGTGCCTGGTCGATAACTTTGCTTTGACCTCGGGACGGGAAGTAGTTGAGTGCGTCCCATAACATGCTGGTAATTAAACTGCCAGCACACAGAACAACACGTGGGGTTTAAGTATTGACGTTGGTATTGTCCTATCAGATACCACTAATCACACCATCCAACTGCTTTATCCGATCATAAAGAACTTCCTAGTTGTGTGCGCGGTTCAAATAGTCCCCCTTGGTTGTAGCTGAAGACTCGTTAGGCACATCTAGTCGCCAACTCTACTCATTCTTAATATTTAATGTACCAAAAACACGATCACTCCTCCTATGATAGGTATTTTTGATTTTAAATAAACATTTAGACAATAAGTTGGTCGCAGAAACGCAATTTGCATACGGTGCATGTGTTTGCATAGCTGAAGTTCTATTAAAAACATCACATTTCACACTATGGGTGGGTTGGTATTAGTCAGTTGTAACGACAACGACATGGCGAATAAAGCTACGAACGAGGGGCCTTTTCGTATGGCAGCATTGTCGGGACATAACCCAGTACATATCACATATGCACTCGTGTTATTTTCGCAGCTCTAATGAGAGCCACTACCATTCGCACCATGGTTTTGGTGAGTAAAGGCTTCCTTTCAGTTTTGGTATTTTACCCAACTGGGATTTAAACTGGTCACCTCAAGGCCAGGTCGGTAAGGAGTTATGTGAATTATAAGCCTCAATAGAATAGATTTCTTTATGGGATCTTGGTAAGGGCCAGGGGTCAGATCATGTCTTAAATATACGGTCCAGTTTAGAAGGTACTTGGCTGGATATTAACCAGAAATTTCAAGAGTAATCAAGACCCAACCCCCGCCCCCCCCCCCCCCCCCCCCCCCCCCCCCTTTCGAATATTTTCCCTGGAAATAATTTTTCCTTACGTTTCATGCTACCCTGATCATGATGAGCCGAAATCATTGTTATGATATCCGGCCAAGCACCTTTCAAACTACTTACTATAGTCGAATATCCGATCAATTTCTAAATTTTATCACTATCAGAGTGAAATTTGAATTAAAATATTGTCAAATTGTTATAATTCTAGAGGGTAAAAAAGGACATTTTTATTACGTAATCAACGAACAAACCCCCCCCCCCCCCCCCCCTCCCCCGTAGTCAACCGTAAGCATTCGGAAAACCCCTCTCGGCTGATTATGTGAACGAAAAATGTGAAGAAAAATCATACATTTTCTGACGTCTAAACAGGGGTTGAGAATTTTATTTCGTTATGATTATAATAATTAATACTGTGTATTTTAGTTGCCCACGTCAATATATATTGCCCACGTTAATATTGTTGTCATAAGGGGTCTTGATTACGGAGGATTGCCAAAAAGTGGATTACGCAACATGTGAGCGACCACTTGTAAATGTATTGCGAAGTTAAGTAATAGATATGAATATTAATTTTGTGTAGTAATATCTCATAATAGGAATCATCACGCCATATGTGGACCGCTCCGTTGATTGTGCCATTCAATGATTGAATGAGAGTTTCTAACATCACATATTCAGATCAATGAAGGCTTGTATGGGGAGGTTAAAGCTTACAAAATTTTAGTATTCCTATCATATTGATAAGAAATGGGCCACGAGCAATAAATTGCACGAAATATTTGCTATCACTTCTAAATGTATGTATTTAACATGACATAAAGATGGGCCATTGTTTTGCAGCCTCCTGAAACTTGAGTCTCACGTTAATATTAGATCTCCTGGAAGCAAGTCATAATGAGAAGGAATAGTGCACATTGATAGATCTGTTTGTAACTGCGGCTTCATCAGAACTATGTAGTATCACTTGTCCGACTGTTAAACTGCTAGCAGACCTATTAAACGTTATAACGTATGTCTACATACAACAATCACTTGAATGAAAAGGCTAATTAGACACGGTGAATGATCGACCGCTGAGCGTGACTTTACTACTTCAATGGAGTCAAGTTTGATAAGTGATCAGTAATGAACGGACATTTAATAATAAAGAAGATAATTCTTATTTCAAATATAATAAATAGTGTATTGTTCTGGCAACCGGTTTAATTAAAATCGTACAGTTGATACATTCAAATAAATCCATGTGTTAACGGAACAAAGTGTTCTCCTGTTTCTGATACAGCAGATTCGGTATATATTAGATTGTAAATATGAGGCTGCGTAATGATTTAAATTATGTTTATCTCAATATTAAACATACATGTAATAGGCGAAATTATGCATAATATATAATACTGACATATTGACTCGTTAACCAGAATCAGATGGCGATTCACAAATAATCTTGTTCGTTCATATTTGTCATGGTTACAACATAGTTGTCTATAAAGTTGTCAAATCAGATTTTCTCGTTAAGCAGTCCAGTTTACGTAGAGAGGGATGCTATCAGTATCTGTCTCTAATATAATCAACTCTTAATAATATGGCAAAACATACATTGGAAATGATGTCTTACAAGCCCTTCATTAAAGTTTAATGTAAATAAAGCAGGAAACCAAGCCACAAACTGGAAATCAGTCTGTAGCCCTGAGACTTGACAGTTCCATCTGGAACACACCCCGGCACGTCTCCCGTCCACCGTTGCCCTGAGTCACAAGTCAATACCTCTTTCCCGTCTAACTTAAAGTTGGGATCACACCTGAAGCTGACTCGTTCACCTATTGAGAAGGTCACAGTGCCGGGGGTATATATTGCAACCCCGTTTTTAATTTCTTCTGTTAAATCCCGGCAGCCGGCTGAAATATCGACTGTACTAATATGGCAGAAAGAGTTAAAGTCTATAAATAGTCAGATTGTGAGTGAGTTTATGGTAGTCGGGTGGATGACGGATGTATGACAATTTGGAAGGTTCTGGATACTCTGCAGTTAAAATACTCTGCAGTTAAACTCACTAGCACAGTTAATAAGTTGTAGAAGGATCGGCGACCACCCGAACTCAGTACAGAACACGTTTTTCTCTCCAACATCCCCAATCTTCTGGGAGTATCCGTCCTTACATTCTACACTTATCTCCTGTAATTTAGCGATGTGAGTCAGCTGAGCACATAGCACAGTGGTACTGGAGATGCAACCATAGTATAAGTTTCTAGGCGAGTAGGCGTGTATCATGTTTGAGAAAATATAAAATTATGGCTCCTAAATTAATACTAATATGGAGATTAAAACCATTCACGTTTTCAAGCTTTCGACTGATCAGCACACACCCCTGACTGAGCACTGGATTATGCAGCAAGATGGTTTTGTACAGCTAGTTTTTAAACATAGATTCCGATTGTAAAGATTTGCTAATATCATGGTGATAAGTTATGATTGTGTAAGTTCTTACAACTGCAAGAGCAAAGTATGTAATAATATTACCAAGTCAGCGTCAGCTGCAATAGGAACCCCCTTAGAGGCTAGACCCATAGAACGTTGAGTGTAGTTTGGGGCCCAGAAGTTAGTATAATCCTCGGGTATCGGGGCGCAGCCAACTGAAGGGGACAAATGTTAGATAACTGTGAAATTAGCTCTAGTGTTACTTAGCACGGTGCGTCCTTCAGTTATTTTACAATACGGAATACCTTGTCCATTCCCAGACCTTCAACTTAATCCGTTTTAGAGTAAACTTGCAGTTGCGGACTGTGGACTTATAGTTGTAATTATTACGGAATGTCCGTGAGCTAGAAGTTACGGAATTTTCAAGAAATGAGGGTAACATAAATGTGCAGTTTGGAGCATGTCATCCTATTGAACAGTGATTAGTGATAACACTGCTGATTGTGCGTTTAGGGATTCCGTTGTTTGATGGAGCTACTATGCGCATACCGTTCTTTGAGTGCTAAAGGTCACAGTGGAATGAATTTGAAACATTTCTAGACCTATTCATCCAGCATTATGTGTGATATTTATACTTGTAGCATTAATTTAGCCCCCACTCCCCAGTGTGATACTAGTCATGTTGGGGGACATCACAACCAACAATCCCCCTCCATCTCACATCTAGAGGATAGAATAAAAACTAAACCAACTAATAGTAATAGCTGGTTGATATCCGGTTGGCTATTTCAATCACGAGACTAATAAACAGCGAACTACTCCAACATTTGATAACTGAACTAACCTTCACACCAAGAATCTTGTCCGTTAAAAATGTCAGGTACAAAATCGTTTCCGGCACACTTCACCACGATCTGCTGTTTCTGTTCTCCAAACTTGTCCACACTATAAATTGTAAAACTCTATTCAATTTAATTAGAAAGCACTGCTTACAGAAATCTTGATTCCTCGCTGTATCACCTTTTTAAAACTATGCTAAAAGTAAAGATTTGCAAATCTTGAATTTCTGGGTCTTGCTTAATCATCCCTAAAAAGGGCCATCAAATAAACTACAAGTTTGATAAATTCCTAGCTCCATCACACTTACAGTCCTAGTTCACACTTACTCAATACTCACTAATCTATTCGGGTCTGGTCCACTGAGTTTAGAGCTCTGATGTTATTGGTCCAAGTCCGGTGCTTCTGGTCTATAGTAGGTTTACAGGACAAAGTGAGAACTGTTCCTGTTTCCCAGGTTACTGATCTCATTTGTGAACCTAGGGTGGTTTGTAGTAGGTTTACAGGACAGAGTGAGAACTGTTCCTGTTTCCCAGGTTACTGATCTCATTTGTGAACCTAGGGAGGTTTGTAGTAGGTTTACAGGACAAAGTGAGAACTGTTCCTGTTTCCCAGGTTACTGATCTCATTTGGGAACCTAGGGAGGTTTATAGTAGGTTTACAGGACAAAGTGAGAAATGTTCCTGTTTCCCAGGTTGCTGATCTCATTTGTGAACCTAGGGTGGTTTGTAGTAGGTTTACAGGACAAAGTGAGAACTGTTCCTGTTTCCCAGGTTACTGATCTCATTTGGGAACCTAGGGTGGTTTGTAGTAGGTTTACAGGACAAAGTGAGAACTGTTCCTGTTTCCCAGGTTACTGATCTCATTTGTGAACCTAGGGTGGTTTGTAGTAGGTTTACAGGACAAAGTGAGAACTGTTCCTGTTTCCCAGGTTACTGATCTCATTTGGGAACCTAGGGTGGTTTGTAGTAGGTTTACAGGACAAAGTGAGAACTGTTCCTGTTTCCCAGGTTACTGATCTCATTTGGGAACCTAGGGTGGTTTGTAGTAGGTTTACAGGACAAAGTGAGAACTGTTCCTGTTTCCCAGGTTACTGATCTCATTTGTGAACCTAGGGTGGTTTGTAGTAGGTTTACAGGACAAAGTGCTAAAGTGAGAACTGTTCCTGTTTCCCAGGTTACTGATCTCATTTGTGAACCTAGGGTGGTTTGTAGTAGGTTTACAGGACAGAGTGAGAACTGTTCCTGTTTCCCAGGTTACTGATCTCATTTGTGAACCTAGGGTGGTTTGTAGTAGGTTTACAGGACAGAGTGAGAACTGTTCCTGTTTCCCAGGTTACTGATCTCATTTGTGAACCTAGGGTGGTTTGTAGTAGGTTTACAGGACAAAGTGAGAACTGTTCCTGTTTCCCAGGTTACTGATCTCATTTGGGAACCTAGGGTGGTTTGTAGTAGGTTTACAGGACAAAGTGAGAACTGTTCCTGTTTCCCAGGTTACTGATCTCATTTGGGAACCTAGGGAGGTTTGTAGTAGGTTTACAGGACAAAGTGAGAACTGTTCCTGTTTCCCAGGTTACTGATCTCATTTGTGAACCTAGGGTGGTTTGTAGTAGGTTTACAGGACAAAGTGAGAACTGTTCCTGTTTCCCAGGTTACTGATCTCATTTGGGAACCTAGGGTGGTTTGTAGTAGGTTTACAGGACAAAGTGAGAACTGTTCCTGTTTCCCAGGTTACTGATCTCATTTGGGAACCTAGGGTGGTTTGTAGTAGGTTTACAGGACAAAGTGAGAACTGTTCCTGTTTCCCAGGTTACTGATCTCATTTGTGAACCTAGGGTGGTTTGTAGTAGGTTTACAGGACAAAGTGCTAAAGTGAGAACTGTTCCTGTTTCCCAGGTTACTGATCTCATTTGTGAACCTAGGGTGGTTTGTAGTAGGTTTACAGGACAGAGTGAGAACTGTTCCTGTTTCCCAGGTTACTGATCTCATTTGTGAACCTAGGGTGGTTTGTAGTAGGTTTACAGGACAGAGTGAGAACTGTTCCTGTTTCCCAGGTTACTGATCTCATTTGTGAACCTAGGGTGGTTTGTAGTAGGTTTACAGGACAAAGTGAGAACTGTTCCTGTTTCCCAGGTTACTGATCTCATTTGGGAACCTAGGGTGGTTTGTAGTAGGTTTACAGGACAAAGTGAGAACTGTTCCTGTTTCCCAGGTTACTGATCTCATTTGGGAACCTAGGGAGGTTTGTAGTAGGTTTACAGGACAAAGTGAGAACTGTTCCTGTTTCCCAGGTTACTGATCTCATTTGTGAACCTAGGGTGGTTTGTAGTAGGTTTACAGGACAAAGTGAGAACTGTTCCTGTTTCCCAGGTTACTGATCTCATTTGTGAACCTAGGGTGGTTTGTAGTAGGTTTACAGGACAGAGTGAGAACTGTTCCTGTTTCCCAGGTTACTGATCTCATTTGTGAACCTAGGGTGGTTTGTAGTAGGTTTACAGGACAAAGTGCTAAAGTGAGAACTGTTCCTGTTTCCCAGGTTACTGATCTCATTTGTGAACCTAGGGTGGTTTGTAGTAGGTTTACAGGACAGAGTGAGAACTGTTCCTGTTTCTCAGGTTACTGATCTCATTTGGGAACCTAGGGTGGTTTGTAGTAGGTTTACAGGACAAAGTGAGAACTGTTCCTGTTTCCCAGGTTACTGATCTCATTTGGGAACCTAGGGTGGTTTGTAGTAGGTTTACAGGACAAAGTGAGAACTGTTCCTGTTTCCCAGGTTACTGATCTCATTTGGGAACCTAGGGTGGTTTGTAGTAGGTTTACAGGACAAAGTGAGAACTGTTCCTGTTTCCCAGGTTACTGATCTCATTTGGGAACCTAGGGTGGTTTGTAGTAGGTTTACAGGACAAAGTGAGAACTGTTCCTGTTTCCCAGGTTACTGATCTCATTTGTGAACCTAGGGTGGTTTGTAGTAGGTTTACAGGACAAAGTGAGAACTGTTCCTGTTTCCCAGGTTACTGATCTCATTTGTGAACCTAGGGTGGTTTGTAGTAGGTTTACAGGACAAAGTGAGAACTGTTCCTGTTTCCCAGGTTACTGATCTCATTTGTGAACCTAGGGTGGTTTGTAGTAGGTTTACAGGACAGAGTGAGAACTGTTCCTGTTTCCCAGGTTACTGATCTCATTTGTGAACCTAGGGTGGTTTGTAGTAGGTTTACAGGACAAAGTGAGAACTGTTCCTGTTTCCCAGGTTACTGATCTCATTTGTGAACCTAGGGTGGTTTGTAGTAGGTTTACAGGACAAAGTGAGAACTGTTCCTGTTTCCCAGGTTACTGATCTCATTTGTGAACCTAGGGTGGTTTGTAGTAGGTTTACAGGACAAAGTGAGAACTGTTCCTGTTTCCCAGGTTACTGATCTCATTTGTGAACCTAGGGTGGTTTGTAGTAGGTTTACAGGACAAAGTGAGAACTGTTCCTGTTTCCCAGGTTACTGATCTCATTTGTGAACCTAGGGTGGTTTGTAGTAGGTTTACAGGACAAAGTGAGAACTGTTCCTGTTTCCCAGGTTACTGATCTCATTTGTGAACCTAGGGAGGTTTGTAGTAGGTTTACAGGACAAAGTGAGAACTGTTCCTGTTTCCCAGGTTACTGATCTCATTTGTGAACCTAGGGAGGTTTGTAGTAGGTTTACAGGACAAAGTGAGAACTGTTCCTGTTTCCCAGGTTACTGATCTCATTTGTGAACCTAGGGAGGTTTGTAGTAGGTTTACAGGACAAAGTGAGAACTGTTCCTGTTTCCCAGGTTACTGATCTCATTTGTGAACCTAGGGAGGTTTGTAGTAGGTTTACAGGACAAAGTGAGAACTGTTCCTGTTTCCCAGGTTACTGATCTCATTTGTGAACCTAGGGTGGTTTGTAGTAGGTTTACAGGACAAAGTGAGAACTGTTCCTGTTTCCCAGGTTACTGATCTCATTTGTGAACCTAGGGAGGTTTGTAGTAGGTTTACAGGACAAAGTGAGAACTGTTCCTGTTTCCCAGGTTACTGATCTCATTTGTGAACCTAGGGAGGTTTGTAGTAGGTTTACAGGACAGAGTGAGAACTGTTCCTGTTTCCCAGGTTACTGATCTCATTTGTGAACCTAGGGTGGTTTGTAGTAGGTTTACAGGACAAAGTGAGAACTGTTCCTGTTTCCCAGGTTACTGATCTCATTTGTGAACCTAGGGAGGTTTGTAGTAGGTTTACAGGACAAAGTGAGAACTGTTCCTGTTTCCCAGGTTACTGATCTCATTTGTGAACCTAGGGTGGTTTGTAGTAGGTTTACAGGACAGAGTGAGAACTGTTCCTGTTTCCCAGGTTACTGATCTCATTTGGGAACCTAGGGAGGTTTGTAGTAGGTTTACAGGACAAAGTGAGAACTGTTCCTGTTTCCCAGGTTACTGATCTCATTTGGGAACCTAGGGAGGTTTGTAGTAGGTTTACAGGACAAAGTGAGAACTGTTCCTGTTTCCCAGGTTACTGATCTCATTTGTGAACCTAGGGTGGTTTGTAGTAGGTTTACAGGACAAAGTGAGAACTGTTCCTGTTTCCCAGGTTACTGATCTCATTTGTGAACCTAGGGAGGTTTGTAGTAGGTTTACAGGACAAAGTGAGAACTGTTCCTGTTTCCCAGGTTACTGATCTCATTTGTGAACCTAGGGTGGTTTGTAGTAGGTTTACAGGACAAAGTGAGAACTGTTCCTGTTTCCCAGGTTACTGATCTCATTTGTGAACCTAGGGTGGTTTGTAGTAGGTTTACAGGACAAAGTGAGAACTGTTCCTGTTTCCCAGGTTACTGATCTCATTTGTGAACATAGGGAGGTTTGTAGTAGGTTTACAGGACAAAGTGAGAACTGTTCCTGTTTCCCAGGTTACTGATCTCATTTGTGAACCTAGGGTGGTTTGTAGTAGGTTTACAGGACAAAGTGAGAACTGTTCCTGTTTCCCAGGTTACTGATCTCATTTGTGAACCTAGGGAGGTTTGTAGTAGGTTTACAGGACAAAGTGAGAACTGTTCCTGTTTCCCAGGTTACTGATCTCATTTGTGAACCTAGGGTGGTTTGTAGTAGGTTTACAGGACAAAGTGAGAACTGTTCCTGTTTCCCAGGTTACTGATCTCATTTGGGAACCTAGGGTGGTTTGTAGTAGGTTTACAGGACAGAGTGAGAATACTACGAAAATTACGATTGTTATGATGACGGTAAACCAGTTTTAAACTGGTCACTAACCGGTGGAATCCCGAATAACTTTTGCTGCTTGAACCAAGAGTCCGTCTACAGCAGGAGTACACTCTGTTTTTACTCCTGTAGAATGTAGATAGAGGGTCATGTTATGTACAGTTTAATTTAAATTACTGTAGATAGTGAAAGTGAAACTTATTTATTCCATTATAGGGAATGTATTATGTACAGTGAAAGTGAAAGTTATTTACGTCTATTAGTATAGGGGCCATAGCCCATATTATGTGCAATGGAAGTGGAACGACCATCAGATGAAGTCCGTTATGATCGCGATTTGGATCGGTCAATAAATTGTAGATGGAATTGTTTGTAAAATAGGGCCAAATGGCAGAACTGAAGAAGAAGAACCGCTTTAATAACCTTTGGTATCCGCTGTTTTGGGGGAGATTGGGGAGAAACCTCATTTCGAAGCGACAAGAAGCTGGAAGCGGCCAGGTACGGCTATCCGACAAGTGAAGATTACTTTCCCGAGCTGCAGAATTCGTCATATATTCGGACGGAGCTGAGGCTAGTTGAGATCCACATGGATCTGTTCAGATAGATCCAGCGAAGAGCGTGCAACGAGAAAGCATCGGGTCACTGATCTGAAGAAGGAAAGGGCTGAACACACTCACGTCGACCACTACATCCGGTACGGGAAGGTCTGTAGCCGTGATAAAAAGATACCGCATTGACCATGAACTAATTCATGTCTCTAAAACACTTATCAGTACGAACGAGTACTACTACTATATGAGTTTCCGGTACGGGTAAGTTATCTGTATTTTAGAGACAATCGTGTGTTTACATACTTTTCAAAATCATTTTCATACTTCTCACAATCCATTATTTTATTCCCAGATGAAAACTGGGAGTGACATTGTTGAGACTTTTGGCGGCAATAAAACTTTTTTGTCCTTCTACATGGCTATATGCATTTCAGTCCATTTTTATATGTTTGTTCGATTTGCTGTACATATGTATATTTGCTATTTTTTTTGGTTAGGTATCAAATCAAATCATGTATACTTCGTCCATTTGTTTATGTCAGCATCCAGGATTTTAATGTGTCGATAAGATCACATTTTTCTAGAATGTAGAATTTTCTGACATTTTCTGCTGTTATAATTTCCGTGATTTAAACACTGTTTTGGACATATTGGATATTAATATGTCGAATTTTCCCTACGGACGCAATCACAAATTACATATTAGTTATTACGCATACCTACATGATTCTTTATCAGCTACTCCTGGCTGAGGTCAATTTTAATCTTCTGAGTCAGCGACGTCTGATATCCGAATAACTGAGTTGCTCTTTCTAAGGAAGCAGACTGCAATGAGCATGACCAAGTGTGTGCGAGAACTTCGAACAAGTTTATTTTTCTTCATCAATGTTAATATTTAATTGTAACTACCCCTAGTTATGAACATCGCGTAGATCGGCGACTTCGACGTATTGTATAATATAACTATATTGCTTTTTCTTACGAAGCAGACTATTAAGTATTAATATCTCCTTTATCAATCTCAATTCTAGGTTAAAACTGGTTTATATCAAGGTTATACTGGTTTATATCAAGCAGTTATATTGGACCTTCAATACGTTCAGAGTTGTGATAAAAGCTGATACAATGGCTGAGGGATGTTACCGGTAAAATTTGATTGACGATGTCAACCCTTCCCGATCGTTGCTCTGAAAATTAACAGAGCAACGATCTCGTCAGAATGATAGTTTGCGCAGCGCGTCGAAGCGGCGAAGTCCTCCAACAGTAAAATTGTGTCTAGACGACGAACCGATGCATTCATGATTTTACCTCAACAAGTAACAAGTAAATAAACTCCACCACTGATAGATATAGAGTCACGTAATTTTGTTGGGACAGCTATCAGCGGCTAGACCAATCAAATCTCAGTACCAAAACAAATGAACGCCTCTCACCAGTAGTAACCAATAACCATAGTAAGTGTAACCATGGTACCCACGTGCATCTTATCTCATCGAACGCTAAGATTTACCAACACTAAATCATAAATACTAGGAAGGAAGATTATGGACAAACCTGAACTCAGCATTGAGAAAAGGAAGAGAAAAGACAACATGGCTATCAAGCGATTATATACGGAAAGAAAAGCAGCTGAGGAAATATGTGGTGAGTTTTATAATATAATGGGGCAGGTAAGTGTACTTGTATACACAAGACAGGCATGTGTGATCAGGATCAGGAAATTATTGCAGCACTTTACACTTCCAAGTTTACTACATTTGTTGGTTACCTCAGGCTGCTCTACTATGACTATAAGTATACACTAAGGTAGGCACTGAACGATGGAAACTACCAGATAGATAGTCGCCGAGTACGTTGTTCACACAAGGAGTTTATCTTTGCGATTACTAAAAACGCAGTTATGGGTTTACTGTTTAGTTCACTTAAAAGATCATTGAAGAGAGAAGTTGGATTTAAAGAAGTGTAATTTACAGATGAGACCGGGAGTTTGGATAAATGTTCAGAGCTGTCGTTTGTGACACATACACATTATTGTACCTAACTGTGACGACAGTTGAATAGCACCTACAATCTACATGGTATGTGCTACAATAGTCACGTGGTAAAGCTATATATAGAAGTCACTTAGTCACGAGACCATTTAGCACGCATCATTTAACGGTTTTTCAATGACAAAGCAAATAAATAAAAGGGACGTTCGTTCCACCACACGTCTTTTAGTAGTTATTGTAATACTAATTGGCATGGTACTAAGCTGGCACGGTACTTAAGTTTCAACATAGTTTCAAACTTTCAAAGGATGGTTTCTCAGTATCTATAAACTTCCGCGAAACTGCACATAGTCCAGTTTCTATAGTTCTATAATATGATGGACTACTACTTACTACTATAAAGACTAGCTCTCACCCAGGATATTTAAATGTAGAACATGTTATCAGCAGCTTTAATAGCAGCTTGTTTAACTTTAATTAAAACCACTATGTTTTTCAAACCTAGTATACCATGGACCCAGGATAAGGAACCTTTTAAGGTGTTATCAGTATGGACGAAGATTGGGCTTATTGTGATTGAACTCATCATTCACTACACCTTATATATTTATAATGATAATGTTTTCTTTTTAACTTTAACTTCCAATATAGAACTGAAGTTGCTGGTTGTACTTGTAATCCTACCTAAAGTAAATAAGTAAATTGTTTAGAGAGTTCAGGTACTCACGTCACCGGCCACAATACCTCTTATTTTACCGATCCCTGAATAATTGGTTCGAAGCTAATATTCCGACAATTTTCCGGACGGTCTCTTCGAATTGTGGCTTTAGTTTAGTAAGCAACTACTTCTAAAATCACTCCTTGTCCTTTTATACCACTTATCAGAGGGTAATCCGTGTTCTTAATCGTTCAATTAAAAGTAATCGCCGGACCAATAATTTAATCGTTTAGTCCTGATTTGTGGATTATACGTTGGTGTGAACCGCATTGTCATGACAACGATAACTCTCATAGTTACAATAACTCGTACAATTTCAGGTGGTAAAGAGGACTGTGGTTACGAAAACAGAGCCCACGTGACAACCCACCTACTTCATTCTCCGCGGTTAGTACTTTACATTTCCTCCAATCACACACCAGCTCCAACCTCTTGTCCAATCACAGAACAGGACCTCCCTGTCGTCTGCCAATCACAGCCCGTAGAATAGAGTCGTTATACTTAAAGGCGTGAGGTAGTTAAGCACTATATTTCGAGTTTAATTGCCATGTCACGTGATATGCTCTTCCGCCTGATTTTAGCCAATCTTGCGAGGTGGAGTGGGCTAGGTTAGCAAGGTGGAGATTGTGGACTGTATTCTTCAGTCTTTCAAGTACTTTTGTCTTCTCATGGTAAGGGTGTTCTATGCATCGTCGTAACTTTCTGATGTTATCTTAATAAGTCTTGTTAGCGCGCGTAAAACCTTCCTGCAGCTAGCCCGCCAGCTAGGTTATCCGATAGTACTGTAAAAATAATCGCTCTAAAAATTCTTTCAAGAAAATTTCTGATTGTTTCTCTGAATGGACTCTGTGACGTCAACGTCCTAATGAAGGTCAATAGATAAAGCACGTATCGTAATTTTTACGTCATACTCATATATTCTGAAATTGTGTTAATTAAATTGTATTTGTAAAAAGGCTCAAAGCCAGCCTTTTTACCATTAACAACTTTTTAAATTACAGTTTCAACTCAATGTGTACACTGTACATGATCGAAAGGTGTGATGAATTTTCATGATCCACAGCAGTACAGTTTTACTGTTGCCTCACAATGGTCAATTTAAAGAGCAAACTTGAAGAATTCTTCACCTTAAATTCGCTATCATTGCCGATCTACAGGGTGAATTGCTCACTCACACTGTAGTTTTCACGTCTAATTTTAAACTTCGGTTACCATGGTTACTATGACCACTTGTACTGACACACCTTGTTGGTTATGCAGTAAATAAAACGAAATAAGTAGCTCTCTGTTTAATCTAGGGGACGGAAATGAAATGCTTTCTGCACCTTGGCCTTAGTTATAATTTTATGTTATGCTGTATTATACGTTCTGCATTCGAAGTACGATCATCGTCAGAACGATTGAAATATCACCGTCGACCCACCATTAAACTAAGGTTAACAATTAATTTAATAGTTAAAGGTAATGTTGTTACTACTTCATACTTGCTCACCGTTTGATCGGCAGTAAATTGCCTTTTAACTATTCGACATCTCAACGAATGCTTATACAATGTGTTTAACGATTTTAAAGCTTTGACATAAGGATTGGAAGCTCACCTTTTGATTGGCAGTAAATTGCCCTGAGGTCCTCGTTGTCACTTTAATATTTCTCTCCGCTAAATGGTGCACTCCGGGAGCCGCTTTGTGACTCTTTTAATGACATTGTGATATAAACTTATAAAGTACTTGTAACATCTCTCTATTTGATATAAAGATATGAAGTACTTGTTACATCTCTCTATTTGATATAAAGTACTTGTGACATCTCTCTAGTTGATATAAAGTACTTGTAACATCTCTCTATTTGATATAAAGTACTTGTAACATCTCTCTATTTGATATAAAGTACTTGTAACATCTCTCTATTCGATATAAAGTACTTGTAACATCTCTCTATTTGATATAAAGTACTTGTAACATCTCTCTATTTGATATAAAGTACTTGTAACATCTCTCTATTTGATGTAAAGTACTTGTAACATCTCTCTATTTGATATAAAGTACTTGTAACATCTCTCTATTTGATATAAAGTACTTGTAACATCTCTCTATTTGATATGATTATTTATAATATGATTTCAATGAATGCTAATATAGTGTGTTTAACGATTTCGAAGCTTTGACATAACGATTGGAATTAAATGGTTTAATGAGATGGTTTAAAGGGTTTGTCAATGTTGACAAGGCATTGTGCGGCATTATATTTGTTTGGTTGTAATGTCTTCAAGCAACCAGACTGACTGCTTTCTTTCGAATTAATGGAATAATTCTTGTTCAACAAACTTGAAGGCAGAACTTTTTCGTATTTCAAAATTAATCCGGTCTTAAGTTTTGTCCATGGTTTGTTGATTTTGAATTCCGCGTGCCGTGCATAGTTTCATTTAGCTGTATCATTGGTTAAATTGTAATCAAGGAGGGTCACGAGGGTGAAGTAACGGAATACCTTGTAATATCTAAGTGATTTGAGTTCATGTTGACATACTCAAATTGTTTGCTACAAGAAACGTTGAAGGTATTCTACTGCTTTTGTGTTGATAAACCATTTGCTGCAAATCGTCTTCGGGTGACAGATGACATCTAACTCTTCCTGTAAGTTACCTAAATCCAATGTGAGCTATATCGTTAGATAACTGTATAATCTGGCTAAAAGCAGAACTGAGGCTAGCTAGGTACTCAGAACTAGCTTCTACATTAGGCATCGTAACATTGGACTGTGTTATGCTATTGAGATTAGCTGGAGACCTAACACTGTCTTCACTTGTTGTCTACCGCGGCTCAGCGGTCACGTTGTCATAACAACTGTTCACGTGACCACACGTTGTTATAGCATCTGGTGTGTCACGTGTTATGCCTCGTGTTAGCTGTCTGGTAACTGGTTTGTCTACAGAGACTGTTCCCATTATATCATAACACTCTTGTTTTTTCGGAATATTGCATTTTAGACGGTTTCTGAGGTGACTTTTGCTGATATTTCATCTTCGATAGTCTTTTGTTGTTGTATTTATGATTTAGTGGTTGACAGTACTCTTTTGCCCTAAGCATGAGAGAGGGAAATAGGTAGAATGCGAGATCTACCTATTCAATTTAGGTAACCGCTGATTGTTCATTTACTAAATATCAAAACAAAGGCACGTAACGTTCAGAGCACCAATTTCACGTATTCGGGGAATGAAGGCATAAAACTGACAGTGAAAACAAATATAATATGATTATTAATATAACAAATATTCAGATCGGTGAAGATTGTAAGGTTTGTACACAGTGCAATGGTATGTCAACTACCGGTCAATTCATTGCTTATGTACATGAAAAATATTTCGAAGGCACACTTTCTTTAACTTTCATTTCCTTTCATTTTAATGTATTCATAATAATATTCAGGGATCTTGTACAGGCCTTTTTTGTCAGTTCTATAACAATAGAAAAAGGGATATTAGGTCATATCATTGACAAAACTGTTAAATTCAGAAGCGTATCCATAGATATTGATGAATTTGATACAGAAGGGTTATTCCCTCACGGCTCACATATCACAACTATGTTTGTCCGTCAGATATTAATGTCCGTCAGATGATAAACGTGTTTGAGAGCCCTCAAGGACCGTTATATCATATCTTGGGATTCATGAAAATGTATGGGGGCTAAATAAAAGTTTTGCGGTCTCCTTGCGCAGCTAAAACGATAAAATGTGATCATGCCTTTTTTGTAATGAATGGGGTCAAGAATTAGAATTTAAGAACACAGCTCTCATCTCATGTTATCTCAATAACAATTCGTTATGTCACGTGACATGGGTGTAGACTAAAATGAGGATTTGAGGGTAGAAATATAAAATTGTTGGCTGATTTAGCACCTATTTAATATTCGCTGAACTCAGCCATGGAAATTGCTTAATAATCGCTGATTCTTGCTATCTCTGGGTCTTTTGTATTGCTGTAATTGTTTGTTTGCACATGAAAGGAGGATTCAAACACCCCTTCTGATTCTTCTTCACTCTAGTTTCAGTTTCTAAGTAACTCTGTGAGAAGAATATTAAATTATATCGTGAGCTTGGAAGTATTTTCCATACACCACACGTGTCATGAAATAGTCCCATGTGTCATGAAATAGTCTCACGTGACATTAAATTGGGGAATGTACTTGTTTTACCAATTCCTACAAAATACAGTGCCTGTTTGTCAGATTAAGTGGTGCAAGACCAATCTCCATCTGGTATCTCAGCGAGATAAGGTGTCTGTGAGCGGCTCCCCTACAGGCAGCTTATATAATGTCAGTTCGAGCTATGACTGGTTGAGAGTCGAGGTGCTAGAAATAGCGCTCTGATAAGCTCAAACTGAGTCTTCTTATCGTGCCGTGGAAGCCGGGAAGACAAAACAAGCTCTCATGAGTTAAATCGCATTGTTTGGGCGCGATTCTAACATGTTGCTGCTCCACAATGCTACTCATTATGCCCTCTATGGAACCTTTCTAAGGTGCATCTTTTAACCCCTCCTTATTAATAATAATCTAGTTTTATTGTTCTGCTCCGAGTTCTCCTTGCTTTTTTGAAACACGCGTTAAGGGAGAGCTTTTTTCTTCTATTTACTATCTTCTCATCTCGAGAGAGGCTGACACGTGACCAGTAACTCGTGCAAAGCAAGCCATTCTTCTCCCCATTTCTCATCCATCATCACTCGGACTCTGCTTCTCGGAGGCTCTCCAGTGCCCACGTGCGCGCGGCAACTCATCTCGGAGGCTCACCGCCTCATTGTTCAGAGTTTGAGTTGCTGTTGAGTGTTGCAATTGAGTCTCATGGTGTGGGCACGCATAAATCATCATCCTTTTTCTCATTATCATGAAGCTACAGACTAACCATTTAAATTGTGGGTAGGCTAGAAGTAGAAGTCCGGCTATAAGGATTTAACTTACACTCATTTTTTGGTGTTATATTTATAGTGGTCGATACTTGATTTTACTTTTTAGATTAGCAGCATCATCTTCAACTTACCACCTTGCCCGTTATATGTATGTGCTGATTGAGTTTAGAGCTGTCTGGTCTTTTTGTTGTTATTCAATAAGCAAACATTATCCAGCATACGCATACAGTCTTCAGCAAAAAGGGGGTATTAAAAATTCAATTATAACAACCGACAGCAGAGTTTTTCCGTTTGCGCGGTGTTAGCAGTGATGTTGGTCACATGATCAGTAAACTTTCCCTCTGATTGGTGATATGACCGTGTGTTCCACGTGCATTGGCCGGGAGACAGGGGTTAGTTACCTTGGTGACAAGGTGAGGGATTCTCCGGGTACACTGACTGGACATCTAATCGAGTTAGGTTTAAGGATATAGGGGCCTGCTATTGGTCC